ACACAAATAACAATGTACGTATGACGTCAGCAGGATGAGAAATCGATGTGCAGGTCAGCTAGCAATTTGCGCTTCATTGCAGTGTGCAGGAAGTGTTCCGCAATGATTCGCAACGCAGTTTACGCACCTACAGAGACATTTACTGTAATGCTGCAAACTGGAGACACCCGTTCCGCACCTTGGTGTCTCTCAGCGTTAGATTTTTCAGTGCACGGCCCATGAAAAATTTCTATTATACAATATTTCAATTTATTAGACACAAAAAAACGATGAAAATAAATACAGGAGCAACAAATCAACGAGGTCGGTTCTGTCTTGCTAGTTCAGGATTGAACTGTGAATTGTACTTCGGCGCCAACTTCGCCTCATTCGCCCTATTTTCGGCCGGCGTCAAGAGCTCTGCTAAACGCTTTCTCTCTTTTGCTTCTCTTTCCAGCCGCTCTTGCCTCAATTTTTCCAACTTTTGCTTTTTCGCAGCTTCTTCTACAACCACTAATTCCTCATTGAGTAAACTTTCTGAAGAACTATGATGTCTTCGTCTCTTTTTTTCACTCATTTTGCGATGCCGCTCCGCTGCGCCATGTTTGTGCTTTTTATGTTTCTTATGCTTCTTGCTGTCCGCGTCCTTGATACGTTTCCTTATGACTTCTGTTTTTGACGTCGTATTTTCCGAGCTTACGGAAATATCAGGACCCTTCTTCTTCTCTGGGGCCTTTTCGTACCATGGCTTCACCTGGAAATAAAGCATACAAGAATAAACAGCTATGTAAATACCTAGACTCTACGGCAAGGCTGCTCAATTTGACCAGCACATTCTGTTGCTGTTCTTGCTGATGAGCTACCTAATCATCTAGAAGCAGAGCAGACCACACGCGCATACAGTGCTGAACACACACAATGAGCATCAGAACGGTTAAAGTTTTGCAAAATAATTCGTATTGGGAAAACTGTTGAGCTGATAATTAATCCCTTCAAATGATGATACAAAACTCCAGGAAAATGATGACCATCAGATGATGCAGCAGTGATCAAAGCAACTATCGAAAAGTTGCCTGCTGCCCAAGTGAAGAATCACAGTTTGAATTAACAGCTATTCCGGGTATATCAATTCTTTCACGATTTCGCGTTTACAGACAAAAAATGAATCACTACTTAGAAATTCAGCCTCTGGCTTATTCGATCGCAACATTCAAAAATCGTTACACTGAAAAATCTAGTTGTGGTGCTGAATAGGAATGTGCGCGACTTCATAAACACACATATATATATGTAATGTATATATGATGTATATATGCATAATATATATAATGTATATATAGTATATATATATATATAT